GCCACCCAGCCAAAACCACAACGTGAATTTGCAACAGGGGAGGAAAAAAGAACCAAAACTTCCAAGGCCCTGCTTTTTTTCTTAAAAGTACTTTAAAAAGGAAAATTTGTTTGTATTTTTTATTTACATTTTATATTTTTGTACATATTGTTAGGGGTCAGCCATTTTTAATGATCTCGGATGACCAAACCAGCCTTTGGAGCGTTCTCTGTCCTACTTCTGACTTTACTTGTGGTGTGACCATGTTCATTATAATCTCAAAGGAGAAAAAAAACCTTGTAAAAAAAACAAAAACAACAACAAAAAAACAATCTTATTCCGAGCATTCCAGTAACTTTTTTTGTGTATGTACTTAGCTGTACTATAAGTAGTTGGTTTGTATGAGATGGTTAAAAAGGCCAAAGATAAAAGGTTTCTTTTTTTCCTTTTTTGTCTATGAAGTTGCTGTTTATTTTTTTTGGCCTGTTTGATGTATGTGTGAAACAATGTTGTCCAACAATAAACCGGAATTTTATTTTGCTGAGTTGTTCTAACAAAGCTGTCTCAAGCCTGGTTTTTCTGTTTCGGTTTTCTAGACCTTCTGGGGAGGGGGCAAGGACCGGGGGGGGTGGCTAGTTGGGGGGATCTTGAGCTCAGGCCCCAGCTTGGGGAGGGTGGGCTGAAGACCCCATTGGGCAAGGAGGGGTGGGTATGCCCTTTGGGCAGTGTGGTGAGTCACCATGGAGATCAAGGACCGAGCTGCTGCTGACCACCAATCCCTGCAGGAGGGCGCTGGAGTTGGCTGTGAAGGGGAGGCTGCTTACCAGGGTTGGTCTACTGATTCCACCAAGAGCCTTTTCCCAGGACCACGTTATTGGGTACCAGGTGGATCAGGGTGCCCTGGAAGGCAAAGTCCACATCCTCAGGCACACGAAGGAACCGGCTACATGAGGCGCTGCTGTTACCCAGACCCCAGGGTTGGGGTGGGTGGGTGGTGGTACGGGCCAAGTGTGGAACGCAGGGCCGAAACTCCAGACAAGCCACCTCCCAGTGGGACAAGCCACCTCCCAGTGGGACAACCCGGAACTTTGGCCTTTACGCTTGGGTCCTCACCCAGTTAGTTGGGTGACTGTGGCTCCCCCTGGTGGTGGCATGTGGCACCTTGTCCCTTTGGACTTCCTTTTCAGGGCACTCGCGCAGCCTTGCCCTAATTCTCCAAGCTCTTGCCTGGAGAATGAAGTGGGCCTTGGTTAGGCAGGCTGGCCAGCCTTCCCCTTGAGCACAGTGAAGATGGTAGGTGGGCACTTAGGATTTTCAGACACCGGTTGTGAGCAGTCAGGAAAACTAAGTGAAGCTCAATCCCTGGGGGAAGGGAGCTATTAGAGCCGATTAAGCCTCCTGTGGCTTGTTCTCACCTGGGGCCTGCAGATGAGCTTCACAAGCAGAAGCCTCCTGCAAGCATCCAGTGTGCCCCTGAATCGTGGTGCCCAGGCTCTAGGGGGTCAGCAAGGGTTGACCCCTAGCTGTTGGGGGTGCTAAGAATGGGCTACTGGCTGCAGGGCTCACTTCGTGGGGCAATCGATTCACTGAGTAAAAGTATGCGTTCTGCTTCCTCTTCGACCAATTGGGCCATCCTGGGCCTCCTTTGTCCCTCCTGAATGTGGTCTTTTTTTGTCTTGTTTTTAGGATTGATTTCTTTTGGGGAGGGAGGGGCAGAAGGAGAGGGAGAGAATCTAGCAGACTCCCTGCTGAGCACGGAGCCGGAAGCGGGGCTCAGTCCTACAATCCTGAGTTGGAGACACCAAGAATCAGACGCTCAAGTGACTGAGGCACCCAGGCGCCCCCTGAACGCAGTCTTAAAGACACCTTTCTCAAGAGTCCAAGTGAGACACTCAGTGCCGCAAGGGAAAGGGCGGCCAGAATTGGGATGGAGCACAATCCTTAGGAGGGACACCTCTCAAGCTAGAGTGCCCGAAGTCTACCCCACAGACAGGAATGGCTATGGGCAGAGGATGAGGTGGGGACAGAGAAGCCATGCACACTCCCTACCCACTCCTGTTCCCCAACACTCCGGCCTTGTGGGAGTTACTGCCTCACATCTGAGCTGACTTCCACACTGCTTTATTCAAAGGAAGAAGCCTGGGACCCCAGTTTCTGCTGACATCCACCCCCCATCACCCTCCTATCTTCCTCTGCCCTGCCTCCCCCTCAGGCCCCCGCTTTCTTTGTCAGAGAGTCTTCCAGGCACCCACGGGCAGCAAGGGGTGGGAGGACGGGGCTGGGGCTGTTACCTGAGGTATCCATCCACAACTCCTTAAGGACCATCTATGGATAACGGGACCTTGAGCGTAAAGACAGGAGGACCCGACAGCAGGGAGGGCTTCCCGCGGGAGGCGGCATTGAAGCCAAGACTAGAAGGCCCAAGAGGATGAGAAAGTTGGGGGACAATTTGGGGGGCAGGAGTGCTGCATGGGCAGGCCCCATGCAGGAGGGTGCTAGGGGTGCGTAGGCAACGGGGGCGGGCAGTTTGTGGACCAGGTACTGAAGGAGGATTTGGGGAAGCCACGGAATGGTTGTAGGCAGAAAAGCTCCCTGGAAAACATTGAAGTGACATCTGCAGAGGCAGGGGGACTGGATTAAGGGGAAGTGCCAGGTGGAAGAGAAACAGGTGTATTTAAGACATCACGGGTTACGGGCGCCTGGGTGGCTCAGTCTGGTTAAGCGTCTGCCTTTGGCTCAGGTCATGATCCTGGACTCCAGGGATCGAGACTCGCATCGGGCTCCCTGCCCCTCACCCAGCTCGTGCTTTCTCTCTCTCTCTCTCAAATAAATAGATAAATAGACTCCAGGGATTGAGACCCGCATCGGGCTCCCTACCCCTCACCCAGCTCATGCTTTCTCTCTCTCTCTCAGATAAATAGATAAATAGACTCCAGGGATCGAGACCCGCATCGGGCTCCCTGCCCCTCACCCAGCTCGTGCTTTCTCTCTCTCTCTCTCAAATAAATAGATAAATAAATAGTTAGATAGATAAATGAATAAATAAAATCTTAAAAAAAAAAGATACCACATGGGGTTAAGTGTCAAGATTCAGGGATAGAATGGGTGTCGGAGGCAAGGATCA